CGGGACGGCGAGGGGAATAACGAGAGGAAGAAGGAAGAGGAGAACGAGTAGCACGGCCATTAGGTTTATTTGCCGTAATTGGGGGAGCTTTAACGCACCAGACCAAACACCGGTTATAGCCACCATAAACCTACCCACAATCACTTAGAGCCGACGCGGCGCGATGCGCGGGCTACGCGCTTTTTCCTCTATTTATTCCGCGCGACCGGTGGCTTCCTCTGCCTCCTAGTGCGAGATCGCGAGGACGTCGCGCGGTCACAGAGCGGAAAAGGGGTGAACGAGAATCGCGGCCTAGCAATTTACCGTCCTACCCTGTTTCCTCTACCCGTTTCTTGCGTTCCGTTCTTGTCACTGCACCTCGTTTACCCTCGCACGTTTCGTTTCGAACGAGGAAGCTTCGACTTTGTCGCGGCACAGATTGCCAGCTTGGAAAATGATTACAGGAAGTAATTACTCACTGGCGGTTTAGAAGTGAATACGTAATTCCTGGTCGGAAGAGTTCTGTACGAGTGACAAGAGCGTACGACCGTCCCTTTAAAAGACAAAACTTCGGAAACAATTTTCAATTACACCGCGTTAATGTTTTTTACACGAATTACGGCGAACGCGACGGAAGGGACTCGCCGATTTACGTGCATAAATTAACGAAACGAAAGACGTTAAATTGCATAATCGCGAAACGTGAGCCTGGTGCTCCGCGCCGTTTACGTCTCGGGAGGACGGGCTCGGCGGGGAAGCGAACGCTCGCGGCGAGAGCCTCGGGTTATTCATTGTGCTTAAATTTGTCGTTGAATCCTCGCTAATTGGCCGGGGGAACCGTCACTTTACGATCGCGACGAAGAAGCGTGTCTTCTCGTCTGACACGAGATTCATGCTCGCAAAACACGGCGTTAACGAGCGCCGCGCGGCTCGACGCGACGGATCCCTCTTTTCACTCGGGAGACATCGACGACTGGGCGAAACAGCTAGTCGCAGCGATTCGCGTTGATTCGTGAATCACGATGGAACACGTGTTCGTTCGACTTCGAGAGCAAACTCGCTCTTCTCACGAATTGAATTGTTTATTGACGTTCAACGTGTCTCATCATTCTAAATGCAGTTGACTGCAGATATTCAATAATTTCTATTAACACGTTTCGTGCCTAATCAATTTTTGTCATGTAAGTCCCATGAGAATTAATAGTTTTTATTCTGATGTATGCCTCACAATTTTTGTAATAATGGAAACAATATAATTATAAAAAAACGGGTGTTTAAGATGTGTTAGGCACCAAAGCAATGAATTTAATATGTCATGACTTACAACATTAAACAATTCTTCGTCCTGTAATGAAAATCTCGAATGGTCTGAATGGAAAGTTCAACACGGAACGTGTTAATGGAATATGAACACAATTTGTTACAACAAACGTTTTCTAGTTATAATGATAGGGAGAATTCACGTTCTTTGTTAAAAATAAAGAAACCAGAACTACGAAAGAATTTTAATAACAGTGTATTTGATATGTAATATTTTATAATTCATATTTTCCATCTCGTAACTCAACGCCGTTTTCCCCGCCAACGTGCATAAATTAGCGTTTGGAAATTTGTGACATGCAATATCAATGTAAATGAAATTCTAATGTCTGATACCGTGCTTGTCAATTAGAATCCAGTTGTACGAACGCTTATCAATAAACATGAGTTCGATGGAAAAAGAGTTCGACAACGATTCAGGGAACAGAATGGTAAATACCTCCTATAGAATGAAAATACGGATCCTGAGAAACAGTGAAACAGCAATGAAACCTGTATAATAATATGCATGAGCAAATAAATAATAAAGCAGAAACGCAATTACCTGCGTTTTGCACAGCTCGATCAATTAAATTTATATTCCTTCGTAACAGTTTTATAGATGTTCTATAAAAATCTTATTCAGTATTCAGCCGACAAAGTTTGCACTCGAATGAACGTAAAATCCAGGATTTATCTAACTGATGAAAATTAGCTACAAAATAGGCAAACATCTCAGCCGACACATTACGTCTTCCGACGACCTTTATTCACGACCATGACGGACTCTTGAGACAATATTTGGATGAGTGAAATCTGCAGACGCACGACACACAAGATCTCGGCGCCGGCTCAATGTTCAACGCGATCGACGAAATGCAGGCAAAGAATTTTGCGAAGATGCGCTGAGCCTCTCGACGACGACGACAGGGAAGGTTTACGAGCGGAAATCGAGTACGGCGCCACGCCGCCGCCCCTTTGTTCACCGCGCCACAAAACGTGGGACTTACAAATTGGAATACAACGGGCCCGGAGTTAGGAGAATCGTTTCACGCTTCGCGGGGGCGCCAAGTGGTAGGCAAACACCGATAAAAACTGCATGAATAAAGCACTAATGGAAGCACTATAGCCCGGTATAAACATCCGAACGATCGCAGGTGGTGACAGTCCTGGATCACACGGTTTTCGTCTCAATTTTCGTCGTTCAACTTGCTCCTCTATTGTACGCTGACAGTAGAGATTGTAAAGTAAAATTAAGTAAAATAAATCAGAACAGATACCTCGATTTATTTCAAATTCACTTTCCATTTAAAAACGAGCGGCATTTTTAAATAGATTCTCGAATACTTATTAAGGAAACCATAAATCATTTAAAACGCATTTGGTCCACTGACTATAAAAATCTTCTTCAGAAGATCCGCGAGAACTTTCTAACCGTAATCAAAACGAAGGTCGCGCCTAAAACGAGACGCCGGTTCGCGTGAAATCCTACGACGGGTAATTCGAGTTGTAAGTAACGTGAAACGTATTCAGAACCACTCGATCGAGCCATCCGCTCTTATCGGGTGGATAGCGTTTCGCGTGAATCACCTGGCGACGTTTAACGACGTGCAGTAGCTAATTTGTCATACGGCTGCGGAGCACGGTGACACGCGTTGAAGTAATAACACGCGTCGCTGCAGTTAACGCGGCCCGTCAGCCTGTACTTTAAACGAGGAACGCAATCAATCTCCCCGGAGAATCGAGGATCCTTGATATCCCGTGCACGTTCCAACATTCTAATTTCAACGAAATCTCGTCCTCGAGTATCGTTGACAAAAAACGAAATCGTAAATCATGATACCGCGGGATTACCCGCTCGCTTATTTAAGCCCGTTTCAGTGAACTATTTTAAGACAGAAAAATTAATGCTTTCGTTTGTTTCAATTAGACCTAGAATAATAAGACTTAAGACCGAATTATTCTATAATCCTCCGTTTTTATGCAGGATTACATTAAAAGCTTTTACACGTTTCGATATTCCAAGAATCATTATTTGATAAGCTTGTGTATTAACGGAATTGCAGGAATTTGTATAGCAATATAAGAATAATTTACTGTTCCCATAAAAATGTCAATTGCTTATTTAAAAGACATTCTCAAATATCTTATCTCTAATTATAAATTAAGAAACATTTTGGCGAATTTTTATTAGTCACAATTTTAGGAAAATTGTTTATGATAATATGATTATTCCAATGTATACGACAGAATATTATAAAAAAATATGAGAATAACAACGTATTGCTCGTAACAAACAAATGTACCACTTGAACGTGAATTCATGGTATTAACTTTATCACAAATAATGAATCTAATTTTCAGATTAAGAATTCATCAAAACATTCGTAGGTCTAATCTTGAAATCTTTGTTTTTTTCGAATTCACATTTTTCTAGTCATCTTGGCACTAACGAATAACAAATCAGGAATTTCATAATCATGATGACTACTCAACTACGTACGTTTATCGGCGTGTACCATGAATTTTTGAAAAAAACAATTCGCCAGTCAATGTCAAGATTAAAATAAAATCGATCGACGATCTCTTATCCATTAGCTGTCCGGTAATACCCATGCTGTTCATTGATAGTGTGTTCTCACAACTCACTGTGCACCACTTGAACCGAGCCTACCGAGTAAATCATCCCGTTGAATAACCAAATTCACCGTCGCGAGACGCACTCGCGTAAACTATTCTCGCGTAAATCAGTTAACTATTATCGGAACCGAGGAAAGTAAAGGTCAGTGACTGCCAGAAACGCGCACAAATAGATTCCTGTGCAAAACGAAATTTATCTGAAGGAATCGAACAAATCTTTATTTAAACGAAATCAGTTTGTGAGTGAATAAAACGAATCATGTCTCGTCGAGGCCATCAGTTTTTTTTATAACGTAAAATTTGCTCGATGCTGCGGTGAGTGCGCTTCTTTCTAGAATCCCCCAGACTCTCGCTGGAGATGCGCGTTCGCGAATCCTTGACGAAAATCGAGAGATCGATGGGAGCGGCGAGTACCGACGCTGGAACGGCGCAACATGAGAAAACGATGATTCACCGACGGGCTGGTTCAAGGACGACAATCTTTATCGCGTGCCGAACGCGTAACAACGCACGCCAAATATTATCGACCGGTTTATCGAAAACACCCTGATGACAAATACCTAGTGAACGACTAACGAGTTATCGAAAAGATCATTTTCCATCGACCGTAAGCGAAACTGTGTTAACAGATTGAGAATCATCGAATGTGCACATAAGATACTCTCGGCGTTCATGATTTTATTATGGAATTGGAATAAAGTATTTTAAAACGGAAATAAATTATTATCCGATTCAGGAAATAATTATAAAGTATCTGGTTTAACTTTCTAAAACGATTGCACCCACTGATTGATGAAACACGAAGGTGCTCCCTAGCCGTACGGCATGGCGGAATCAAAATGGTGGAAGCACCCTGAGCCAGTTTGCCGCGGATAACACCGATCGGCCATCAAGTATCAGCGCGTGAGAACGCGGTTGTCCATCGTGTCTCGAGAGCCTTGCGTTTCAGACACGTAACAGAATACTCGACTAAAAGGGTAGCGTAAAACGAAGGAATCGCGTGTCCGAGACGCGAAGCGCGCACGATCTCGTGTACAGACGCGATAAACAAGCGGTAAATCAATGTTTGAACGTTCGTTCACCTGTGTCATGAGTCGATCCGCTCCGGTGCCTTCCTCATCCTTGAAGATGATATCGGTGTTGTAGTTGGGAACGAGGTCTCGGAACCTGGCGTCGTTTCTCGACACGCGGCCCTCGCTCAGTCCGCTAGCTGGCAACGTGTTCTCGCTGACGTTCGGCACATGCTGCTTGAACACCAGCGGCGTGAGTTTTCGCAGATGCGGGCGCATCCCGTTGCCCCTGCCTGGTCCGCAGGCCAAGACGGAGCCACCGCTGTCCAGGATCGGTAGCCAGAGACCGAGTATTAACAGGAGCGCCTGCAGAAGCGAGGGCGTCGTGCCTCGCCTTCTGAGCGCGCAGTGATGGCTCGCCTGAAGGCCGCGACGACGATGATGATGGTGCACCATAATCACGTGGCTCTGCCTCGAAGACGACCCTGCTTGGTCACTGGTCGCCGATGATGACGATCCACTAGGAGGATCTTGCTTGATCTCGTGTGCGTCGAGCACGTCGACGGTATCACCGAGTCCTCCTCGCCAGCACCACCGCCGCCGGCGATCTGTCTCCTCCAGAACGAACTAGACGAGCACCTAGAGAGCCACGATGACGACGACGACGACGAAGACGACGCGTACCGAGAGCCGACGGTCCTCCACCTCTTGCCACTGACCTCACTCACGCTTAACCATGACCAGGGCATCACACACCCCCCCTGCACGCACTCTTATCACCGTTGTGACCGTCGTAGCTGCGTCTAATCACCACCCGCGATAGAATTGGAATTAGATCCGAAGGATCCGAACGATCGAAAGATCGATGCGCTCAATCGACCGGCACTGTTAGATACGTTTCGTACACCACCGCGCGAGAGACTCCGAGGGAGATTTGATCTCACCGTTTCCGCTGCCCTTTAATTCCGTCTTCCCCCGTAGATCATTCGAACGAAATATCCGCGTTATCGATAACGGCGATGTATCGCATCGATCGCCACCGACGATAGGTGATGCCTCAATAATTCGGCGCTATCCATTAAACGGCTTTCGAAATTGTCAAGTTATTATTGATGACGGAACCATCACGAAATACGATTAATCGTGTCAAATGAATCACGTGCACCAGTCGATGTTTCGTACATCCCGTATGAAAATTCGCGAACCAAACGGAGCGAACGGACGTTCTCCAAGGGACGCGCGCACCCGCACCCGTGCCGATGGGTTCCTCGAATCTTTCCGTATCGTGACTGATCGTCGACTCTATCGTCGGGATGCTTTACACCCGATCGACCTGACTCACTTGACTGAACTCGATAGTGCGAACACCGACCAGTCCGGAAGCTCCGTGGCGCACGTTTTCCGGACGAGTCAGTGGTGGGAAATGCGGGATTGGTTTCGGTGGGTACCCCTCGTTGTTCCTTTGGCCTGGCCGGCACCAGGGTGCCCCTCTTCCTGCCCCCACCAACGTGGCCAACGGCCGGCCGGGCCGCTGGCGCTGGTTGCAGCTATTGCTGCTGGTTCCCGAGAGGCTCTCACGGCCTCCGAACCGTGGTGGTGGATGATGCCAGTTCCCACCACTCGGGCCCTTCTGGTACGCTGCCCGTTGACGTCACCGGGCCCGTTGAGGTCCCATTGGTCGCGAGGCGGGGCGTGCGAGAGGTGAACGAGGACAGGTGCACCGCGACGGATAGAGATCGAGGCTGAAGATGAAGAAGAAGAAGAAAGAAGAGAAAAGGAGATGAAGAAGAGAGGGAGAGAATCTTTTTAGCTTTCTCCTCGTTCGATTCGTTTTGATCGCCGCCTGTTACGTTCTCCTTTCTCTCTTACACACCCTCGTACGAATCCCTCCGTTTCTTCGGCTTCTTCTTCTTCTTCGCAGCCTGTCCTTCTTCCTTTTACAGCGGCCGCCGATCCACCTCCCCACCTCCACCTCCTCCTCCTCCTCCCCCGTTCGATTGATCTTTCCTCTTCGTCGTTTTCGTTGTCGTCGTTGTCGTCGCGGCAACGTTCCACCTTGTTACGTCGCCTTCTCTCTCTTTCTCTTTTCTTCGTCGCCGCGCCGAGCCGGGAAGGTTTCCCGTGGCACGCCGCTCCGCTCCGCGACCTCTCGCTGAGGAGCGGACTCTTTTACGCTCGCCAAGAAAGTACCGGCGTTGCGCGAAGATTCTCAATGACCGTGTCTCTCTACACCCGGGGGGAGCCGCGCGTATAGGAGCGAGAACGTAGGGTGGGCTGACCTTGACTTCGGCACCCGTCAAGTTTCGCTCTTCTTTACGATTCTCTTCGCCGTTTCGCTCCCTTCTTCCATCGGACAAGCTGCCATTCGCCGATTACCACTTTTGTCGCATTCCTACGCCGTGTCGACAGCCTCCCGTCTTATTAAACGCAACTTCTCTCGATTCTTCTCGTTCTATGGGACCGTGCGACGTTTCGCCCATCTTCCATGAGAAAGGGGACTTGGCACGCGTGTCACGTTCACCGTTCTGGAGCACGGATTTCGATCCGGGCGATTCCTCTTTTCTTCTAATTTTACCTCACTCTCTTTTTCTTTTTGCCTAAGCTCCTGTTCTGTTATCGCGGACGAACTGATGCGCGCATTGTCCGATCGGAGCACTACGATCAGAAATCACCAATCTCCGATTATAAATAGCGATAGGCTTATCTCTCTGCTAATCGCGTGCCGAGATCCACGTTAAATCCCACGAGATTAGATGTTCTTTATTTGGCCCATATAATAACAGAAATATGGCCTAGCTCTCTGGAATTATGAGATTATGCATATACGCTAACAGATTTGCAAGTGACAAGAATGATCGAACTCTGTCACTTCTCATACAATGTTTTTCTACAGACAAAAGAGCGTACGTTCGTTTTTGAAACATTAATTTATTACGCAAAGTCTGACACATGCTCGAACGAATGACGTTGCAAACAAATAATTTTCCTGTTTGTCTCAAAGCTTTACGGTAATCATTTATTTTATTGCTACCTGCCGACACTCCTTTTACACCGATTTAAAAACCACCGACGGTAAAACGTGGAAAATCAATAGCTCCAACGTGTAGCTACGGAATCTTTCCTGTTTTGACGTGGAACGACTCGTACACGACAGATAAACGCACTCGAAACGAGTTCCCGGTGAAGAATTTCGTGTGGAGGAACGCGAGAACCGCGGACAACGCGATGGAACGTCACCAGCCACAGCTATGAGCCAACTGATACGAAAGCCGAAGTCTAGCGAAGGACGAGGAGAAGAGGGACGCACGACTTACCAAAGTGTACGCTTTACTGATAATAAACATCCTTTGTGAATAACTGCTCGTCCCACCATCGTATCCAGCGGCACTCTATCATTGACACATCCGAATTTACACGGTATAAACAATACCTATCCTTAGAATTCCGACGATAATACTAATTTTGCGGCCTGCGAAGAAATATTCTTCTCCATACGTCACGTGTATATTACAACGCAAACCGAGCCAGAAAAAGATTTGTTTAATATGATAATAGATGGACTTGTAAGTGAATACGTTTGATCATATGATCAAACAGAAATTTATGACATAAGAAAACAGAATGATAATTAAAATCCACAAACTGAGATTGTAATATTTAACCAAAGTAAAATGAATACGACGAACTATACCATAAAAATACGTACATGTACATTACCGTACATTTCTTAGTAATCAACGATTTATTCATTGTGAGTTCTGTAAGCTTGTAGTTAGAATCGAATTTCTAACATTTCTGAGTTTCTACTGAATTGCAGAGATTCCTCGGGTTCCTATTTCGTGAATCATTGAAATACGAGTAATGTATTAAGGTCCTTCTAATAGGAAAGTGGTGAATCAAAAAGTAACTCGAAAGAAATTGGGTAAAAAGAAACCTAAAGCAGCTAAGCGGTTCGAACGGTCTTCTCAGCAAGAAACGGGCAACGCGACAGACGAGTCAGAGATTAGCCTGGCTGACCTGTGTATGTAGATAAAGGCGGCGTTCGCCAAACAAACCCCGTCGATGGTGGCTTTTTCAGTGGAAATGCGTAGGTTCGCAACGACGAAGGCAACGCGCTCCACAGAATCCGTGGGATCCGCGACGAGGATTCGGCGTAAACGGTGCGAGTTTAGAGAAGAACAATGGTTATATTACAGTGCGTGTACACATGGTACGTAGGTCGGTGCGGTAGGGGTAGAATTACGGCCGAATGAAAGCATAAACGTCGCTCGTTAACGAAGTCGATTCCAGAATCGCTGAAACCCGCCGGCAATAAAAGGTAAACGAGTATTCGCGAGCTGTAAACATCCGCGGAACGCTACTCCGGAACATTTCATAATCCTGTTACGAGGCAATTTGACTTTTGTGGCGGCTGCGGTGGCGGAAATAAAACTGCGCTATCGAGGCGCGAGTTACAACGCCGCGATGTTGCCGCGCCTCGTATTCCAAATTCGTGGGACTTCGTATTATCGATATCTGATGCCCAGTGATTAAACTCGTCGCTTTCGCTCAAGCAATAATTGTCAACGACGTACATGAGACTTAAGATTTCACTTAACCCTGTAAAACTCGAACATGAGATTAATGGAATAAATATTTAAAGAGAAAGTATAGTCTTATATTTATGATTACATCGATTCCCTCTCATCGATGACTGTTAAGAAATTGATTATCCAGAAAATAATAATAATTTTGAAAGTCTTGGTCGGAATATTTAAATGACGAGGTGGTCGTGACGAAAACCGATTGTTCCGCGAAAGAAATTCCACGGGCACTTCGACATTGCGGCGTGGTTGTCCCTTTTACTTCGTAACACGATCCCCGAAGGAAGCTGCGCCGCGCCGGGCCCGAAGGAGGTAACACCGGTCGGACAGAGGTCCGGAGTGGCCCTTTCGCGTAATGGACGGCTCAAATATTTATCATCGGCCGCGTAATTTAAGGTGCGTTTAGCAAACGGAAGACGACGCGAGGGAAAACAAACAAGTTCCAGGGGCGGTGTACGGATCCGTTGGAGAACGGAACGCGAGAGGGTAGGGCGGCCGGGTTGAAGGGTGAGCCAAATGGAGATGGGCGAAAAGGAGGCAGCGGGCAGGATAAGACGACCGCGAGAGTGGAGAAGGGAGGTCGCGGTGAACGAGAGAGCAGAAACAACGATAGTGGGAAGGAGACCAGGCGGAAAACGACAGAGGTAGAAAGAGTAGCTCAAAGAGGCCGCCGCGGGCCCCAGAGGGCTCTGTGAGAAGGCACAAACCCCAATAATAGCACCAGAATTTATATACCTGCACGAACTCGGTGGAACGGTCCCGGGGCTGCAGGTCCACGGGTCCAGGGACGGCTTGTTGCAATAGCCGAACAGTGGGGCCGTTCCTCCACGATTCATTTTCTCCGTTCGTTCGCGTTCAAGCTCGATTTACTTCTTTCTCCCGTTAAAC